GTATTACAATTGTAACGGAAAAAGGGAGGAAGGGCATAAATGAATTATTAAAGGTGCATAGAAAAGGTCAAATTTCCAGCAAATAATATATCTTCCAAACATGTTATGTCTGATATCAATGGCAATGCATATCTTCATACAGATCAGTGACAACAAAAGACCTTAATACACTGTGACACATAACACGACTGAACTGAACAATAGCTTTTTAAGACTACTTTTGATGATTATTTGTCTTTTGAACAAACAATAAATCGAGAGTGAGTTTTGTGAACATGAACCAAAAATTGTTATTTTTGTTTTCTTGGTCTCAGTTTCAGTCTATGTCTCGGTCTTAGTTTCAGTCCAATATACACATACCTATAACAGTATAAAGTTGTCTATTCTGATCTGTGATATCTTAATATCTTCCTACATTTTATTCCTATTTATTCTCCTACTCATATCAAATGTTGACATGTGTCACATTTAATGATACATTTAATAAAATTGATAATATTTTAATCTACCTGTCATAATATTATATGAATAGGAAGATAGTAGGAACAAATTGTAGGAGGATATTTAATTTTTTATCTTTTTAACATAAATTTGTGATAATAGAAATTCACATGCCACATGAGGCATTAAATTGTGAATTCATGTCATCACGGTTGTGATAAATAGAAGCTGGCAGAAATGGTATCCATATGCATTAACGTACAGTTGAATATTATTTCTACCAAATATTCCAAAATATTAAATGCAAATGGGAACACTAGTAAACTTGTTCCCTTACCAAATGAAGAGAGATTCCAACTGTAATGCTTCATGTGGCTTAATATAAATTAAGTTTAAAACGCAATTAAGATGTCCCTAAAAGAAACGTGTCGGTTTTTTATTTCACTAATTAAAGATATTCCCAATAATTATGTTAGCAGATTGGTAGGCATGAAATACCATCAAACTAACTTTCGCATCAAGATTTATTATAATATTGAGCAGTTTACAACTTTATTGACATTTTTTTAATTAAAGTCATAATACAAGTTGTAAAGTATAATCCTTTTGGAGCCCTGTGCTACTAAGAAAAGATTTGAGACTAATTTTTTTAATTAAAAATGATGGGGTTTATACTTTATAGTTTCATAACAAGTTTCACTTTACTTGGTCTTTAATTTTTATAAAGGCAATTTAAGCTTTCGATGTTTAATTATTTAATTAGTGTACAGGTTCAGTGAATTTCAAGGTCTAAGCACATGTTTACCGAAGTAAATAGTACATCGGTTTGCACTTTGGCAAACATTTAGACAGAAAGTAACCCACAGTATCTCATTTACGATATGCAAAATCAGCCTTCCTTCTTTATATATGTTCTCAAAAAAGTAAACACCTTTTTTTTGTTATTTACTTCAATTTTGAAAACTGCTTTTTTTAGACAACAAATATAATTTACTCTAAACAACTCCTAATTTCAACATCACAAGACTTGAACACTCAACCTTAAGAAGGAAGAGCAACACTAATACCACTATATAAGCTAGAATCCCTTTGTTTTAAAAACTGCTAATTACAAAAAATAACACCATATTATCTTTATTTGTGTATTATAGCATCCTACTCCATTGTACTTTCCTTTTATTTCTTATTATAGCCGTATATTTTAAAAAATCTATCTAAATATAGGAGTGATAATTTATATTTTGGATATGTCAAATTACAATATATATGAAAGTCGATGCTATAATAAACCAATCAAAGAAAATACATTGTTATTTCTTGCATTTTACCCATTTACAAACACATAATTTGCCACTACCGAGCTTAAAAACTTATTTATATAACTTTCAAACTGAATTCAAATGTGACACAATCATCAAAGTAATTTTGGATCAACTTAAAATCTTTGTAAAAATTATTGGCACCTCGCCACCTCATAACTTAAAACTTATAAGTTATAAAGATCTTGTAATTCTCAATTTATGCCCATGTGAGATGGTTTATATTTTCATCAACTAGATCTACAAAAATATATTATCATTTGGGAAAATGTTGGTGAGTAAATCTGAAACAAATATATAATTAAAATGACAACTTAGAGATTGCTATGTTTGACCAAACCATAGACAATGTTTATTCCTATACCTTCCTGTGGGGAGGAAAGCGGGCCACTGAGTCCAGGCTAATTATTAATTGTGTGTGGGTCTCGTGCATTTGCGTATCCACCCTTATCTCAAAAACTAACCAGGGATACTTTGAATCACTAATTTTAGACTAAAATCATCACCAAATCGTGATTTGCCTAATCTTTGATTGGTGATTCAGTTGTGATCATAGATGATTTTGTGTGTTGTCAGGGATATTATGTGGATACACGATTCAAAATCTGTTTGACCAAACAGCGAAGATGATAGAATATGGATAAAATCACAAATGCACATATGCATACATGCATTATAGATGTGTATATGTGATGTAGCTATGTATGCATGTGCATACATACATTAAACATGCATATCTATATGACTAAGTATATCCCTATTCTAATAAATAAATAGTTTTAATCTCCTTTTCCCAAGTGTCTCTCTAATACAACTTCTCATTAATATTATGTCATGTATCATGTAGATATATTAGGCAACTCATTTTAAAATTCAAATTTACATTTTCTAATTAGATGTTAAATTTGAAGTTATAATAACTTTAAAAAATTAATATACCTCTTAATTAATAATTATAAATTATGAAAGTTTAATTAGTTTTATAACCCGTGGTTCCCACGGGTTATAAACTAGTGTGTGTATATGTGTGTATGCCGTTCAAAAAAAAAAGTATATGTGTGTATATTTGTATAGGGAGTCCATCCGTATAAAGTGAAGTCATTAGAAAATAGAAACGCTCCATGGTCAATTTTACATAATAATATTTTCGGGAAAATAGTGCCATGTGCAATGATGTTGGTATTTGTATAGTTTGGTTACTATAACTATATGTGATTAAGAAGTGTGAGGATAATTAAGCATCCTAACTCATAGTTACCTCATTTAAGAATCAAAATAACAATCATCAAGTTCTAATTAATATATGGATGATATAAATCCTTCTGGATAAAATGAAAAGAGAATTCAGTTTATACCAATTAGTATATGCAAACCCAGTATATCTTGCATTATCGTGAATATTAAACAAGTCCAAACGTTTGTTTGGTTGGATTGAATGGATCAACGAAAAGGTATGGATAGGATAATTGGAAAAACAATGTTTATATTTCATGACCATTTTTGGTTGGATTGCAGACATGCAATGCCGAAAACGAAAAAACCCAAGTGTCATACGAATGGGTAATGGGTAAGGGCATCTCCAAACCAACATGAATCATATTTTTTAAGCTAAAATGATACAATGTCACTATTTTGATATAAATGAATAGTACAACATCAAACCAAATTTAGCGTTACATTATTTTTACAACAAAAATGGTGCCAAATTAAGTTTGACGTGTTATATATACTTTTAGTTTATCAAGTTTAATGTTTGTTTATTTTTAGTTTATTAAATGACTAGTTTTATTTTATACGTAATAATTATTAAATAATTAATTTCTAGTTTATTAAATATGACTATGATTTTTATTTTATTTTTTTGAACGGCGGAGTTAGTACTTAATAGTTAGTGTCACAGAATTGTTCATGTCAGGGTTAGAACTCGAGACTTTCAATCTAAGAGGCAAAGTCTCTACCAATTGAGCTAGTCCCACATTGGCAATATGACTACGTATATTGTTGTAAATGTAATAAGTTATTTGGTTATAATTTTGTTATAATTTGTTTCATAAATTTTACAACAAAAGTATAAATAAAGTTAATTATAATTGGGTGTTTTTTTTTGCCAATTTGTATATGGTTAGAAAATGAATATATTACAAGATATTCTTTTTTTGGTGTAAAATGGTATAGAGTTTCACATGTGTGAACCATTTTTACATTATTTTGATGTAAAAAAAGAGTTACAATAAAAAAAATGTCATTTAATAGCACAAAAAAATATGACTAAAAACCAAAAAAGTCCGACTAACTCAAAGAATCATGAACACAAATAAAAATGTCATTAAAAACGCTTCAATTAAAATCCTTTAGTGACACTTTTCGGTTTGACGTTGCAGCATTTTGGGACTTTAGTAACACTTCTTTATTTGTCACAGAAGATAAGTTTTGGTAAAATAAAAAGATATTACATTTTGAATCAAACACCTCATTCCTTTTGAATCATATACACAAGTATTTGAAACTAACATGTGGGTGTAAAACTTGCATAATGATACATATTTTTATTCATTCATTATTTCAGCCCCTATTGAAACTGCATCATAGATATTTTGTCTTAAATGATATATAATCAATTTCCATCCAATATCGTCCTCCATGTATCAAAACTAGAATTCAGCTCGATCATAGTCTCTCCCACCAAAACAATGTCGTCGGAGAAAAGAGTACACAATGACATTGATATATCACGAGAAATCTCGACCATAATCAATACGAATATATATAGGCTAAGAGCATATATGTGGTGTAGTCCAATTTCCACTATGAATGACTTGTGTCATCATCTATTGTTCACACACATATCGTAAATTAATAATACACCAAGAAAGACATTTTCTAATTAATTTTAGAAAATAAACTTGTATGGAACCTATCTTGTAGGGTCCTCTAAATCGTCTCTCGTACTCGTGTAATGATGTATGCGTAATTTTTTATTATGTGTAAATACATTGTATTGTTTTCCCTCAATTATAATTTATAAGCTTTTATTTACAAAAAATAAAAAATTAAACATATTAGAAGTTCATTAGAACCCAAACAAGACTATGATAAAAGACATTCTCTAATTATTTTTGGAAAACAAACTTGTCATTTAATTATTTGAAGCTTATATAAAACGATTTGTCACTTAAATTTACATAAACAAACATGGGTTATATTGCAAATTTCTCATTTCATTGAACAAACATGGGTTCCTCAATCCTCAACTTCCATTTCTTCACGAAGCAAATCCAAAATAAATTTTACTCTCTCACAATTTAAATACTCAAAATCTCCCATGACAAACTCATACACCACACATTCTAACTCAATCCAACTCGAACCTCTATTCTTCCTCACCCAATTCCCCCTCATCATTGCCCTAATTTTCCCAACATTCTCCCACTCCCCCAAACCCGCATAAACATTCGATAAAAGAACATAATTCCCTGAATTCTCCGGCTCAATCTTAAACAACTCACCCGCCGCCACTTCCGCCATTTTAACATGGCGGTGAACACCACAAGCCGCCAGCAAAGCACTCCAAACCGCAGCTGTGGGTCCCACCTTCATTCCACATATTAACTTATAAGCATCATGAATACACCCACTACGCCCTAATAAATCAACCATACATGCATAATGTTTATCTATCGGTTCAATCCCATATTCATTTTTCATTTCTTTAAAATATTTCCACCCTTCATCAATAAGGCCTCCATGATTACAAGCAGTTAAAACCCCTATAAATGTCGCCTCATCGGGGGTTAAATTGTCTTTTTTCATTTTTTCAAATAATGAAATCGCCTCTTGACCTAACCCGTGATTTGCATAGGCTGTGATCATGGTAGTGTAGCAATACAAGTCTTTTTTGTTAATCATTTTGAAAATATCTATAGCCTTTTTAATGTTTCCACATTTAGCATACATGTCAACTAAACTAGTGGCAATGTGTAAATTGGAGAAAAGATCGGGACCCACGTAGTCACAGATTGCTGACTCAGCAGCATCTAAAACGCCTAACTGTGAACAAGCTGAAATTACAACTAGGATAAAGGTTTCATCTGGCTTAATCGATTGTTTTTTGAATAATTTAAGCAACTCTAAAGCAGTTTTTGGTTCTCCATTTTTAGCATAACCCCCAATCATTGTAGACCAAGAAATTAAATTCCTTTCAGGCATTTGATCGAATAAAACCTTTGCATCATTGACATTTCCAGATTTCATGTACCCATCTATCATAATTGTCCAAGAAGCTACATTTTTACTTGGGATTTTGTCAAAATAGTTTCTTGCAGATTCAAGATTTCCAATTTTACAGCATCCAGAGATGATTAAATTCCAAGATCCAAGATCAGAGAAAGGCATTGTGTTAAAAATATAAATAGCATTGTCAATGTCACCATAGTCAACATACCCAGATAGCATCACGTTCCATGAAGCTAAATCTTTAACAGGCATTTCATCGAACAGGTGGCGTGCCTCTTTCATGTCACCAAGTTTCACATACCCATGTATAATGGTGGTCCAGGAGATGACATTTTGATCAGGCATTTTACTGAATAACTCACGAGCAATGTCTATTCTGCCATTGTTGCAATACCCGAGTATCATTGAATTCCAGGAGACAATATCCTTTTCATGCATCTCTTCAAACAGACATCTAGCCAGATCAGTTTTCTCACATCTCATAAAAAAATCAAGCATAGAATTTTGTACCGTTGTATCTAAATCAAACCCACATTTTATCACAAATCCGTAAACCACCTCGCCATCTCTTAATCTGGCTTCTCTAGCTAAACCCTTGAGCACTGTAGTTATAGTATAATTCAGAGGCGCAACTGAATCTCGAAGCATTCTAAGAAAGAGTAAAAACGCTTGCGAATAGAGTTTGTTTTCGACATGCCCATGAATCATAGATGTCCATAGGAAGACATTTGGTTGGGATATTTCATCGAACACCTTGTGAGCGACGTGGGCGGATCCAAAACGGAAGTAGAGACGAATAATCTTGTTGAGCACGATGTCCGATGTAGCAAATAAACCGTTTACTAGAAGTGAAGCATGAGCAGATTTTAGCGATTTAAGGGATTTGCAACTATAGAGAAAATTTAAGAGAGAGGATTTCATTTCATGGCGCCAAAAATAGTACGCACACAACGGTCATCCGACAAGAACCCCCAACCCGACTGCAGCAATGGGATCCAAGAAAATATTGTAATGGCCTTAAATATATAAAGATAATAAATTATAGGGAAAATGACTTATTCCACTAACAAACTAATCACTTTTTTTTTATATCATTATCATTTAACTTGTTTTAGGTGTTCACAAAATATCATTGGAGCCTGCTATTGAAGGTTTTCGGTGACATTCATCTCCAGCAACTCTCTGATCATCTTTCCGACGACTTTGTCATCTCCATCGACTATTGCTCCTCCGTGAAGTAGTCCTCCATCACTAACTGTTACATTTCAGTCGAGCATCATCACCATCGGCTACCATCTTCCCATACGCCACCATCTCCACCATCATCCTTGCATTTTACATGTACAAAATCAACAAGAAAACACAATCCAAAACCATTTTCTACATTGTCATATATGAAAGAACACATCCATATGCAAAATCGAGTTTCAAAATCCAAGATCCAAAATTGAGCTTCAAATCTAAGATCGAAATTAAAAAACAAAGAGCATTTTCCACATATTGTTTCCAGATCCGAAGAATACACATGAAGAACACATGCCATATTTAAAATCGAGCTTCAAAATCGAAGATCGAAATTCGAAATTGAAGCTTAACTGTTCTTGTGAGTTCTTCAAAATCAAAACCTTAGTCATGTTCAAGATCAAAACCTAAAAAAATCTAATGTGTTTTGAGTTCATGTTTTCCACATTTCGCATGAATATTCATGTGGTTAAGATGAAGAAAATATTTTGAGGAGATGAAGGTGTAAAGGGTGATGTTGTGCTTTAGGTGGTTAAGATGGTGACGGTCAAGGGTGGTGAATCGCTGAAAAATTAATGTTGGCCGGAGATTCGCCGGAGAAGATGAAAGGAGAGTCGTCGAAGATGACAATGCCGTCAGAAATCTTCAATAGCAAGTTGCAATGGTATTTTGTGAATACCTAAAACAAGTTAAATGGTAAATGGTGTATGTTAACTGTTAAGTGTGTGTCGCAACGCCTAAACAAATAAATAATATAAATAAAAATACTTCTCAAATGCACTAGGCGGTAGTACAGGAAAGCAGGGTCGAATCCACAGGGACACATCCTATGGTTTTTGCCTCTTTTGCGTAAGGCACACACTAATTTAATAGAAATTAAAGTGGGGGGATTTTGTTGATTATTAAAACTAATTTAGACAGAAATTTATAAAAGAAAACTATTAAAATACTTGATTAAAATTCAGAAGGTAAAAGCAATTTCAGTTTCACAGTGACTCTCCTAATCATGCAAATAACTTTCAACATGATTATTGAATTGTGTAATGTTTAAAGTGGTACTGAAAATCGTTAATAAGCTCTAACAATTTTATTTTACTAAAATGTTTGACCAAAACAAACTCTTTGAATTAAACCTTACTTTTTACTGAGTTAACTAAACAAACTCTTAATTATTTAAGAAAAGTAGCATTAGACACTGTGTAAAATTCTCATTATGGTCCAATACTTCTCACAAGCTCGAAAGCTTAAAGACTTGTTTGATCAGTTTATATTAGAGTTAACACTAACAGAACCAATCTAATATTCGTTACTTTTATTGATTAATAAAGATAGTTACAGATCTAAACAAGTCAGATAACTTGAATGATTCAATAACAATTAAAGTGGCCTATAAAAACTGAATTAAAATCAAACGTTCAATTAAGCATAAATCTGATCAAACTAAACAGTAAACACAATCAAAAGTCGTGCAAAATGATTAGCTGCACGAAAAGTCGAGTCTTTTGAGAAACTGAAATCTAGGGTTTTTAGCCTGACATGGCTAAAAACGAAATACAAAAGATGAAATTAAGTTCCAACTGATAAATTTTACTAAACTTATAATACAGATCAAATCGGGTTCTTCAGATCTTCGTTTGGCACTTGGAATCTACAAAAAAAAAATCATCTCTCTGTCGTCTGGAATCACAATTACCCTTGACTGAAGGGTTATGGGGCTCTATTTATAGGCTTATCAGGAATACGGAACATTCTGTAATCGCATATATGAAAATACAATCGCATTTTTTTTTACAAAAACGCATCCCGAACCACTTTAATGAAGTACAATGCCAATTCTGAACTTTTTGGAACCTCGAAACACAAATGCGATCATAGAAATAGGAAATGCGATCGCATTTCTTATCATAAATCACCAGATCAGATTTTTTTGGGAATTAAAACTTCGAAGCATAAATGCTATCGCAGATATGGAAAATGCGATCGTAGATATGGGAAATGCGATCACATTTTTTCCATTTTGTCGCGGTTCGGTCGTAGTTCTTCCTTTTAAAAATTTCCATGTCATTCCTCAACATCCTTCTTCACTTCCAACTCAAATTTGGCTCCACTTCTCCATCCAACGCAACCTCAAAGTGTTGTATTCTTGTTGTGCTCCAATTTACCCTGAAAATCATAACGAAAGTGAGTAGTACGGGCATTCTATGAAAATACTATGAAATATACAATTTATAGAAATATAAGGGAGATAGTTAGCAATTTATAAGAAAACACTAACAAAATCACGCTAAAAGATGCATATAAAATGCATCTAACAATATACAAAGCAAAGTGACTAAACCTAGACAAAAACAAAAGTTTGTTACCCTAATAAGTCATGTTCCCTAAATTATTATATTCCAAAAGTCACAAAATATGAAAAGATGTATAATCAATCGTATATGAAATCAGAGTTAATATGAATAAGAGATGTAAATAAGATCTTGATTCAACTCATATTATCTGGAGAAGTACAAGTACATTTGTGAGAGAGAAAAGCACACTGTAGAAGTTGCAAAAGTTACAAATAACTTAGGTACCTACACTATTTATAGTGTACTCCACGGATACAAAAAGTATATCAGAACTTCGACATTTATAGAGAAACAACATATGTGCCTGATAAAGTACATACAATATCGAATTCATGAAGATGTTCGATATTGAAAAACACTTCGGTACTTAGACTACTACGTAAGACTTCGATATATCATAACATATATGACTCTACAATATCTCACTTTGTGATCAATATTGAATCTTCAAACTGTGGCTAGCGTCTTTATCACTTGTAACAATACGCTTCTAATCTCCATGTACCAAACGATAATCTTCGTTATCTCCGCTCTATCTTCATTTGAATTCTTCTTGCACTTGTTTATACGGAGGACACTAGAAAGATTCTGATTTAAGTATCTTTCTTAATCGTCAGTATGAAAGAAGTATTTCTTTTCCCCTCCTTTCATGTTCTTTCCTTGAAAAACAACACCTTGAGGTTGATTGATAATTTCACCATCTTCAAAATCATCAATATTCAATTTCCCTTTCAATAATGACTTGGGAACCTTTGGTTTTTTCTTGAAAGAATTATCAAACTCAAAATATGCTAGATGAGCAAAATAACAACCGATGAAGCTTTCGATGTGGCTATACCCAATGATGTACGAAGCTTTATCTTGAACTTCATCGTTATTCAAATCTTCCATAATCTTTGTAACAGTGATGAAATCATTCAAGTTCATCAAGGTAAAGTTAGCAATGGTGAAGTCAAAAAGAACATTGTTGGCTCTGATAACTTTATATCGATAGTTTTGAATGACTCATTCGAACATGACATCGGGAGTTATCGATAAAAGTTTAACAATCTTCACCAAGGACCAAACATCTTCTTCTTTTTGTCCAGGAAATTCATGGAATCTAATTTTCATACTTTTATAATCCTTTGTATCATGGAAATTCTTTGCAAGATTGAAATGACCAAATGTGAACATCGAATGATTAAACGGAAAGTGCAATTGATTGAAATATGTGTCATCGATGGCATAACCTCTCTTTGGTCTTTTCTCAAACACATCAACTTCGTCATAAGCAACATTTTCAATTGTTTCATAACACCACGCCTTATTTGGATGTACTTTATCAAGATGTAACACCGTGATTTTTCACCCAAAACTTTTCTTTTATTTTTAATAACATTAATTATCAGAAAAATGTTAGCGGAAGTGTTATAAAATCCTCATCAGTAGTTATTTAGAAAATGTTTCAAAAACAACCCATCAAGTTATATAGTTGTAAAAACCCAACCAAAAAAACACCAAAACCAAGTTTAAATGAAATATCACATCAAGTCTCAAACTGGTATCAACACTAGTAACCAAAAGACTATAATTACCCAAAAGATCCCAACCTCACCAGGCAATCAATAATCAAGCTACTTGTACCAATGAAAAGCTACAACGACAGGCAAGAAGCAAGTGTCAGCATCAGCACAGTGAGTCTATCTCAAGCACATAATCTTGGAAACAAAGCATACACATCCATCATGTCAACTCATGTAATCACATCAATCCATGCATCATATATCGATCTATATTAACATATACGTATATACATTAATCCGAACATTCTTTCATCGTCGTAATTATTTATTTATTTGCTTCCCTATAATTACTTTTAATGTCCCTCTCTAACTAGAGTCTATGTCAACACTAACACTCCCCAAATAAAGACCTCGTTCGCTACTAACGTAACCTGGAGACCCAGTGCACCAAATGGGGTGCGACTCCCACCTGTAACACTATCCTTAGTTCGGCGATTTCACTACTGTGACTATGCACATACAAGACAATGTGTTTTCATTCCACGGTGTTTTATTAGAACATCGATTACATGCCTATACCCAGACGTGATGCTTGATCCGACCTCATCAATGGCCAACATCACTCCAGTCCCAATACACAATTGTACCAGTACCATGTCTCGATATGGTCATCTAGAAAACCATTCAACGTCTAATTTGACCTAAGCTCTTTTCCTCCATCGATAACCTTCCGATGCGATATCTCACACGGGCACGTACCTAAGTTAGGTTTCTACCCTTTAACCCCACTATGTGCATTTCCCCTTTTATTTAAGTAATTAGG